TAATTGGGTGGTGCTCAGTTTATCCTAACACCCAGACCCACTTGATGGCTAGTGCAATCATTTTAAGCCTCTTCCAAGAATATAAATCAAATTTCAGGCCTTGTGAAAATTGTTGAGATAGTAGGGAAGTTTGTATTTCTCTGTTCTTTGCCAAAAGTTCCCGCTAGCAAAATTACCTACAATCTAAATATCATTGAGAACGAAGCCATTTGATGATGTAGCCCCTCCATTCAATTCTCTCTCCACCCATAGTGTTCCTCCTGCCTTTAGTGAGGTGCTGCTGTGTTTCTTTTCCCTGAGGCTAAGTTTTATTTGCAGCTGCATATTTTTGTGTCATAGCCTACACTGTGAAGACATGTATTACTTTGTGCTATGCTCAATGAAAATAGTACTTTTTAAAAATTAATAGAGATTTATGGTTCCATAATCCTGGTAAATACATCAAAGATACCTGTTTGCTCTTATTCTGATATTGAAAATATAAAAGATGGTGTGATAAGGCCAGCTTCATTAATTCATTTATAAGTACTGTAATATAATAGTTCATTTGTCCACACATAGCCTCCAATTATCTCTCAATTCCTGGTAATAGCCACAACCCCATCTTTCATTTTTATTACCTACCAGTTAATTGCACTAATAGGTTTAGCTTTTCGTTTCTACATGATTTTCATTAGGAAAAGTGGCAAGTGTTAACTCTTGCTGCTTTTTAGTTAGTAAGCATTTCAGGCTTTTTAATCAGAGATGAGCAAAGAAAATAAATTTTTAGAATTTCATGAAAATGTGCTTGCTGGCCTCAAAATTCCAGATGACTACTTCTAACTTTTACTTTTTTAGAAAAGAAGAGGCTTATTTGGGACCAATAAATTCTGCCAGGTAAGGAATATTGGAAGCTAGAGCTATGTGGAATTTTTTTCCTTAAAAAAAAAAAAAAAAAAAAAAAAAAAAAACAAAACCTTCTTTAGCATAGTGTACAAAGAATCACAATTTTCTCAATCCATATACAGCTTTCTTGTGCAATATAAATGAACATGAGCTAACTTAATATGAATATTTAACAAACTATTTGTTCATTTTAAAGTAATATAAATATTTTAATAGAGATGTTTGAAAACACTTGTTTATTTTGAATAATCAAATGTCTATGAGAAAGCCAATTGATGTTTGAAAGAAAATTCATACTCTCATTTAATTGTAATATCTCCAATAATTTTCCTGAGTATTTTACATATGAGATCATTATGATACATATATATACTTTTGACTATACTAAACTGACCGCTTGCATCTATCACATTTTAGGATTTATGAGAATGTTTTATTCACCCTGATGTTTTATTCATCCTGAAAACTGGGAATTGAATAAAAGAATTACCACTAATTTAGTTATCCATGTCTCATTGTAATTACAGAGAACTGACATGCATTCGTGGAAGAAAAAAAATATGTTAGTATAAATTAACATCATAGTTATTATTTTCATCTAACTTGTAGAGTGTTACAGAAATGCTAAGAAAAGAATTCAGGATTTTATCACTTAATACTTTTAAGAAAGAGGGAAAGATCGGAAAACCTTCTCTCTGTTATTCCATGTCTGAATCCCACTGAAATGACTCTGGTACTTGTAGCTCTTGTGTCTGGTGGCAGATACTCAAAATCAGCAAGATAGTATCTGTTTCAAGGTATCAGCTGAGTTGGCAAGTGAAGAATCTTTTTTAGACAATTTAAAGTTTTTTTTTCAACTGAATTGTGTTCCCCAAAATGACATTTGAATAAGAAATATAGAGGGGTGCCTGGGTGGCTCAGTCAGTAAGTGGTCAACCCTTGATTTCGGTTCAGGTCATGATCTCACAGTTCGAGAGATGGAGCCCCACGTTGAGCTCAGCACGGGACCTGCTTGGGATTCTCTCTCCCTCTCTCCCTGCCCCTCCCCTGCTCACACACTCTCTCTCATAATGAATAAAAATTTAAAAAACAAACAAACAAACATAGAATTCTGTGATAAACAGCAGAGGAAGACAAAAGAGATTTAGACGGGGGAGGAGGGAAGGGGAGAAAGAGGGAGGAAGGAGAAAGGGGACAAGGGGAGAAGGGTGGAGGGGGAAAAGGCAGTGAAGGGAAGGGGGGAAAGGGTGGGGAGTGAATCTTTTCCCAAAATCTGTGTAAAAAAATATAGAGAATCAAATGGAAAATAGAGAAAATCTGTTCCAAGTGAGAAACATAGGGGATAAAATTTTTACAGGGTTAGTGGTAAGTTGTGCAAAGGATAATAGGCAGCAAGAGTTAAGGACAGGTGGCAAGTAATGGGATAAAAGGGCTGTGTGTTCATTTAGTTGATTTTATGAAGATGAGTAGGATTATGTGTATAAAGTAGAGAAGTCAATTCTGGTAAGCATTTCTTGAAGGAACCTCCTTAGTTTATTCTTCAGAGAACAGATGGCTGGGAACCTGCCTGCCTTTGTATCTGGGGTGCTCATCCACAATTCACCTTTTAGGATAGATTGCTCCCAGCCTTGGGAACACTAGGGGATATTTTCAGGCTGATGTGTTGCCGATGTGAGATTTAAGTAGAATAAAGTTGTACTAGGAGCTATTTGAAAAGTTATATTGGCAGCTAACAATTTCAAAATTTTAAAAGGAATGTTTATATTCAAGGGTCATGTTGGAGCTATCAGCAGGTAGCTTGGTTTACTAAAAACTTGGGACTAGGTTATTTTAGATGTGTCTTTTGTCTTTGTTTCTATATGGTGGTATGGGAGCCACAGGAATATATGCATTTATTTTAGATAATGAAAGTTTTCATTTTTAATGTTAATTTTCTTTTTTTAATGTAAGAAAGAATACATTAAAGCTATGATTTCATGAATATTATGGCTATGTTGTCAAAAAGTCAATTTTATTTTGATTTAAAGAAAAAATAAGTAAATAATAATAGCATAATATATGAATATGGCAAGAATAATGAAAGCAGCATACAGAAAACTGGTGTTTGGGAAAAATTCATATAGTTTTATCCCATGTAGTTCACACAAAGCCAGTATTTTTCAGACTCTAAGAAGAGATAACATCAATAAATTGCTCTTATTTTTAAACTTTGCAAAACAATGTACTATTTTTCATCCTGCCATTATAGTTAGGCTATTTTATTTTTAAGCCTGTTCAAACTGATTTGCCATCTCTAGTAACAATCAGAAAATATAGTTTCAGGGCACCTGGGTAGCTCAGTCGGTTGAGCATCTGACTTCAGCTCAGGTCATGATCTCATGGTTCATGAGTTCGAGCCCTGCGTTGGGCTCTGTGCTGTCAGTGCAGAACCCACTTTGGATTCTCTGCCCCTCCTCTGTCCCTCCCCCACTCATGCTCTCTCTCTTTCTCAAAAATGAATAAACATTTATTTTTTTAAAAGTATAGTTTCATGTTTTACAAGGGGATGAATGAGGCTTAAGTGTATGCATTTGTGAATAACCTAAAAAATGAACTACAGTTCTATTTTCTGAACTTTTGAGATTTTCTTTACCTGTGGAAGGTTTTTTTTTCTCATTAAGTATACTTAATACATCAGTTATGACCTTGAACGAAAGAAATCTCCAGATTTTCCAGTAATGATATTTTACATTTAGTAGTTAATTGTAATACTCTTAACAATTTTTCTTTTTTATGTTTAAATTATCACACATAAAATTGACTTTTTAGGGGTGCATGTAGTTCTATAAATTTTAACACATGTAAACTCGTGTAACCACGACTACAGTCAGGATATAGAATAGTTCTGTCACTCCAGAACATTCCCCTCTTCAAATTTTTGTTCTGTATAGTGGGAATACATTGTCCTGTCATGCCCCTAAAACTCTTAGCAAAAATAGGCTACTTTACTATTCAGTAATTCTGTAATCCACCCTCTTTTCTAATGTACTTAAGTTCTTCTAATTGCTAATTTTGTACTTTGTTGATTTATATTCCTGATCAGGGATGGTATTCATTTCTCCTCTCTACCAAATATCATCAACTAATCCAATCCTAAACTCAAACCTCAGGAGATTTCCTACCTGATGGTGTCAGTGGATCTGTCCTTATTCGCATTACATCGGTTTATAAGTAATGCTTTGTTCATCATCCGCATTGTTTTTTGAACTGCCAGTTGTCTGATGTTAATGCTGGAGATTATCTGGAGTACACAAGAGAATCACCACTCTGTCTCTCTTTTTATAGGCTCTACAAATAGTGTTCTTACCTTTTCCCGGTATTTTAATGGCTTTATGCCATACTTTGTCTATTGTTGAGTACTTTCATCACCATGAGTTTCTTTGAATATGTATGGAACATGCAAACCAAAGGAAGGAAAGTCACAGGTTATAAGTCAAAACTTTACTTGATCAGTAATTAAACAAAGGTTGCATGTTAACCAGTCTGCTTTGGGTATTTGAGTGTACAATTGTGACATGCATTTCAAGTAGGATGATGTCAATCTATAGCACATAAAACATATTATTTTAACATAAAGATCAGAATTTTCTATGTTGTAATATGAGCCTGTCATTTACAAAATTTTGCCATAAATCAAAAATTTAGAAATTTAAATATATGCATAGTAATCATCGTTGAGGTAATTTCAGACCATCTTATGTATCATCACCTCATATAGGGAAAACATTAACAAGTAAATTTGGACCCTGACCTTTTGATCTTAAATTTTCTTATTTTATGATTCTTTTAAGATTTTTCAAGGTTCCTTATATAGGTATAAGATATCTTGAGATGTTGTAATTCTCCTGTGACTTGGTTGGGGGCGGGGGAGAGAGGGTTATTATTTCAAACCAGTTTTTTGTTCTTGTTTTTAATTACTGGAAACAGGTACATTACTATTGAGTGAGATTCTTTATTATCCCTGTTTGGGAACTACAAGTTAAAACCCTAAGAAATAATATAAATACTTCTACTTGCTCACACTATTGTCTGTCCTTTGAAGTTGTAAATTGACTATTTTATCATTTGCTCTTCAGATGGATCCTGTGCAAAAAGCAGTCATTAACCATACTTTTGGAGTGTCCATTCCCCCAAAGAAGAAACAAGTTATTTCTTGTAATGTCTGTCAGCTTCGCTTTAACTCAGATGTGAGTATCACCTTTTCATTGCTGTCAGTAGTCTGCCAAGCTGAAAGTCTGATTGTTCTGGATATGTATATCTCTTCATATTTACATGCCCTCCAGCAGCCACTCCCACTGGTGGCCCACTTTCTTTAGTGTGCCACATTTTCTGATTCAGATTCAACATAGAAACCTGAGCAACAGAGTAGTTAATATCAAAAATCAAGAATTTCTCTAATCTCACTCAAATTATGTTTACTTTGCAAAAATACTTAAATAGCAGAAAATATTTTTTAAGGTTTAAAATACAATGAATGCTGAAGAAAACCATTGTTATTTCTCTTTATAACAAGTGTCACGTTTTATGTGTATGCCAAATCATATTAAATACCTGAGAGAAGAATTTATTATACAATTTATATTTTCCCACAACATGGAAGTGTAGGGAAATCTTTGTAAATTATTTTATCTGGCCAGCATAACCATCCTGCTAAAAAAAGAAAAAGAAAAAAAAAGAAAAAGAAAAGGATATAAATCATTTATTAAAATAGATTTTAAAATGTAAAAATAAGATAACATGAAATTAAAATAAATAATATTAGAATGTCTATAATACCCAATTACCAAATCTGAATCTACAGCTGTATATTATATGTGTTATTTCCTGAGTTACTCCATCCCAGAAGCCATTTTTCAAAGAACATGTTACAGGATTCATGTTTCTTGCAAATACTAAAATAATAAATACTCTTATTTACATATACCATTAAATGATATTTTGATAATTCTATATAAGAAACATAATAAAACTTATAGTCATTGGAAAAGAGTGCTTTTGTCATGCTTAATATGATTTGTAAAGGTATATTTAATGTGATTTCCATTAAAGGTCAAATAAATTTTTATGGCACTTGATAAAATCCTCCTCAACTGCCTATTCAAGAATTAAAGTGTTCCTAAAAAATTGAGAATTATATGGTATCAATTCATTTGAAGTCTTAATATTATCATCTGTCCCCAGATTCATCTATAGACCCTGCACAATCCCAATTAAAATCCCAGAAAGCATTTTTGTAGAAAATGCCAAGCTATTTCTTAATTTACATAGAAAAGAAAAGCCCTATAAGAACTAAAGCTTAAAAAAAAAAAAAAGAACAACAAATTTTGAGGACTTCCACTTCTTGATTTCAATAGCCACCTTAAAACCTACAGTAATCAAGACTGTAATATTGGTGAAAGAATAGTAGACACATTGATCAATGGAACAAAACAGAGTCCAGAAATAGACCCATGGCTATATGGTCAGTTGATATTCAACAAAGTTGCAGTGACAATTCAATGGAGAAAGTCTAATCTTTGCAATAAATAGTGCAATTGGATATCCACATGTAAATTGTAAAAAAGAACCTTGACAGCTGTCTCATACAAAATTCAAAAATTAACTCAAATGGATAAGTATAAACTTAAAAGTATAAAACTTCTAGAAGAAAACACAGGAGAAAATCTATGTGACCTTGAATTAGGCAAAGATTTCTTAGGAAACAAAAAGTATGAACTATAAAAATATTGGTATATTAGGCATCATCAAAATTAAAAACTTCTACTCTTCAATGACACTCTTTTACTTTAAGAAAATGAAAAGAAGAGCTACAGACTGGAAGACAGTAATTTAAAACATGTCTTGTATACAAAATATTTAAATAACTTACAACTCAGTTAATAATAAATGGCCAAAAGATTGAAACAAGCACTTTACCAAAGAAGAAAAAGGAATGACAAATAAATATGCAAAACAGTGCTCAACACGATTGGCCATTAAAGAAGTACAAGCCACAATCAGATACCACTCCACCTATTAAAATAACGAAAATTAAACAAATTGATAATACCAAGTGGCAAGGATAAGGAGCAACTGGAACTCTCATTCATTGTTGATAGAAATACAAAATGGTGCAGGGACTTTGGGGAATAGTTTAATAGTTATTTATAAGAAATTTTTATGAAGTTATAGATACATTTTCCATACAACCCAGCAATCTGACTTTTAGATATTTATCCAAGAGAAATGAAAACTTATGTTCATACATATGTGTCACCTAGTAGCTTTATGCATAATTGCCCCAAACTGGAATTGACCCAAATGTCTATCAAGTGATCACTGGGTAAATAAACAAAAGTATAGCCATACCATGGAATACTGCTTAGTGATAAAAAGAATGATGTACTGATAACATCCTACAGCATGGGAGAATCTCAAAGGCAGTATGTTAATGAAAGAAATTGGACTCAAAGACTGTATGCTATATGATTGCACTTATGTAACTTTCTGCCAAATACAAAACTATGGGGACAGAGATCAGTAGTCAACAGGGACTGAGGATGAGGTTAGGGAATTGACTACAAAGGGTACGAGGGATATGAGGGAGGTTTTTCAAGTGTGAAAATATTCTATGTCTTCATTACTGTGGTGGTTACACAACAAGTTTTTTTTTAAAACTCATAAAACTAAATACCTGAAAAGGAATGTTATTTCATAGAAAGTTTACCTTAGTAAACCTGGCTAGAAAAAAAAAATCAAAGTGATAGGAATCATGAAATATTTTGTAAATAGAAGACTAATTCATGATAGAGATATAACTATGAAATATATTGAACTACAATATTACTACTAGATTTAAAGTATAATAGTTAAACGACTTTTGCAAGAAAAGACAGAATAACAAATGTTAAAATAGATCCAAGTATATATCACAGTTTTGCATTGTTATTATCCACATTTCTGTGGTCACCTAGGGAAATGAAAGTCTCTGTAACTTTATGAATATAAAATGGCAGTGTTGGGGTGCCTGGGTGACTGAGTCAGTTGAGTGTCCAACTCTTGATTTTGGCTCAGGTCATGATCTCACGGTCATGGGATCAAGTCCTGTGTCAGGCTCTGCATTGACAGCACCCAGCCTGCTCGTGATTATCTCTCTCTCTCTCCCTCTGCCTCTCTCCCACTTGCTCTCTCCCTCAAAAATAATAAATAGACGTTTAAAATGGAAGTGTTTACTACTTAACTGACCGCTTACAAAATGTTATGTCCATCTGAAGACATGATCCATACTTAACGTCTAGCATTCCCACTGCAACAAGGTTGGTTGTCAAAAACGTCTCATAATACAAACAGGTTGCAAAGTGAAGTTGCAAAAATTTTGCAAAAAAGGCAGACTTTCATGAAATCTATGAATGTCATGTTAGAGAATTGTTTGATGCAAAGCCACTGACAATGGAGGATCTGCCTGTTAGAAGAGTTAACTTAAGAAGAGAAAATAACAAGGTTGATTATAGATCGGCTCTTCAAAAAAAAAAAAAAATGTTTTGGGACACCTGGGTGGCTCAGTCAGTTGAGCGTCTGACTTCAGCTCAGGTCATAGTGTCACAGCTTGTGGGTTCTAGCCCCGTGTGGGTTCTGCGCTGACAGCTCAGAGCCTAGAGCCTGCTTTGGATTCTGTGTCTCCCTCTCTCTCTCTCTCTGCCCTCCCATGCTCACTCTGTCTCTCTCTCTCTCAAAAATAAATAAAAACATTAAAATTTCTATTAAAAAAAAGGTTTTGACTATCAAGTGGATAATAGGGACTTTGGGGCAATTATGAATCCCTTGAATTAAAAAAATAACATATTTCCATGGTTCAAAAAGCAAATTAATTTCAAAACATACATTGAAAAATCTTGTTCCATCTCATTCCCCATCCTCCCACCCTCCAGGCCATTCCCTGTCTATCTGTAACCGCTTGAATATTTCTTACATATCTTTCCCGAGTTTGTTTATACAAATATAACCAGGTATAAATATTCTTATTTTCTCCCTTTTCTACATAAAAGTTAGTGTACTATTTATACTTTTCTTTGCCTTGAATTTTATACATAACAATATATCCTAGAGTGTTGTCCTTATCAGAACATAGAGAGGCTCCCTGTTTTGTTTTTTTTTTTACAGATGTGGTAGGCAAATGTGTCCACATCCTAATCTCTGAAACCTTTTACTATGTTACCTTGTACGGCAAAGGGGAATTAAGGTAGTAAATGGAATTAAGGCTGCTAATCAGCTGACCTTAAAATAGATTGTTCCAGATTATTTTATGGCCAAAGATCCTTATAAAGTACAAGTGGGAGACAAAAGAGAAAGTTAGAATGATGTGATGTGAGATCAACTTGACTGGCCATTGTTGGCTTTGAAGGTGAGAGAAGGGGCCACAAGCCAAGGAATGTGGGAAGCCTCTAGAAGTTGGAAAATTAATAAGAAAATTTATTTTACCCCAGAGTCTCCAAAAAAAGAACAGTCTTGCCAACATCTTAGTTTTAGCCCAATGATACACAAACTTCTGACCTCCAGAACTGTAAGATAACAAATGTGTTGTTTTAAACCACTAAGTTTGTGGTAATTTGCTGTAATAGCAAGAGAAAACTAAGAGTAGTCTACGTGTGGATGTTCCATAGTTTATTTAAATAGTCCCTTATGGGTGAACACAGGTTGTTTCTGATCTTTTGGAATCACGTAGATTTTCATAGTCAATAAATGATAGTTAGGACGTAAATTCAGGTCTCTTGCCTTGAAAGCCATAGGTCTTCCTAGTATATTATGTTGCCTCACATAACAATCTTACTCATTTACTTAGCATGTATTGGGCTCCTATTTTATGCCTACCATCATACTCGGCTCTAGAGACCAGCAGCAACTTTTACTCGCAAACAATATGAATGAAAGCATCTAAAGATGAACTTTCTTAGATCCTCTTAGAACATGTTGCAGGTCTTCTGCTGTATGTTTTTATGAGTCCATTTCCATGGCATTTCTGTTGGAAGGACAGGGTATAAACACCTCCACCTTACAGGTGGAACAGCTAAGACCCCAAAGGAATGACTACAAGTTTTATTTTTCATTTGTGTCATGGGTTGGGTCACAAGGAGGAATGTCAATCTCCTTTCCGTGCCCCAGGATTACTCTGGGAGTAGGTTCAAGTTTGACTTGAGTTTCATTTGATGTC